CTGATTAAAGTTTGCTGCGTGTAGTTTGAATGTTTATTACTGCAATCAACATAAAGCTCATGCAGATTTAGTTTTGAATGACTGGGCAAGCATAGATTTTGAAATTATGTACAAAAAACATGTCTGTTGATCTTTGACCTTGCATGCACAAAACTTTATTGCTTAATAGTCCAGGCTTAACATCCCTGACCTTATTTAGAGAGAATTTTAAAGTAACGTTAGCCAAGTTTACATCATTCTACATAGTTTAATTAAAGCAGTGTTTGACAGTGTGAAGCCTTTGTTTTTGACCTCATCATCAGGGCTGCATTTTTTATTCTTTTTCACCAGTCTGTTTTCCAGATTTCCTCCCTCAGTATTCCTTTCATACCATTTGCTCTTTGCAAGGGAAAGGCCAACTTTTGTTGGCAAGTTATTTCAGTGATTCAGTGTCAAGCTTGCTTTATTTGGCAGGATTTTGACTGGCCACCGTAAAAAACAGTTTGCTGACGGTACCAAACTGACAGTGTAGTTTTTATAAAATACCCCATATTTGATATACATATGCACCCATGAAGCCAGATTTATGACTTCAGAAATGACTGTGTTGAGGTCTGTAGTTATCACTATCACATAGTGTAGAAAACTCTTCATATCCCTAGCTGTCTGTATTATGACATTTACCTGGTATCCCATCTTATCAGTGATCTCATCCAACCTTTCTTCAAGGTTATCAACCCCAGAGACATGCCAGGGATTGTCCTCATTCCTGTCAAAAAAATAAGACACAGAGAAAAAAATTGGGGCGGAGGGTGGAACTCCAAAAAAAAAATTGTTTGAGTAATTACTCTAAACGTGTCACCTCCCCTGCTGTGCATCACACGATGGCACTGTTTGGCGACTAATGAGCCAACGGCCAGCCGCCCACTTTTACTGACTTATTCTCCCCCCCCTCGCCTCACCGATGATGAGAAAACAGGGAAAGTTTGGGTTGGGCGCCAGCTGTGTCATCAGCTTCTGGTTTCAGTCCTGAGATGTCTGCTGGTTACTGGTGGAGATGCGTTAAAGGCACACTGGGAAAGTTGGATGGCATTTGGAACTCTGAAAATCTCATGACATAAAAGATTTTCTAATATCTTAGAAACGCTCATTCTTGTTTTGTGGAGGGATGTCACCTACTTGTGTAGCATGGGATTGAAGTATAATTTGCAAGTTGCAGTGACATGAATTTGTGTTTACTTTTCCAACCAATCTGTTTAAGCAACTCTTGCAAATTTGTTGGCAAACATAACAATCAAGAAACTGTTTCAGTTTTACATGTCATGCTGTCTCGTTCTCATCAAATGGATTTCTTAGGCTAGAATGTGAAGTCACTTTTAGGACCTAGTTGTCGGGGTCCCCGTTAAATGGCCTTGTTAAAAATGGGCGTATATTGATTTTATGGGAGCAATGTCAGAATGGGGCAGGGCTCCCTGATATGATGGGGCTGCAAACCAGTGTGTTTTTTTTTTTCCTTGGCGTTTCTTTGTCCCAACTTGGTCGGACAAAAGTGCATGTAATGTCGCCGTACTTTGTTGTACTTTTGCAAGGCGGAGTGTGCCATTGTCCTGGCTTGACTGGTCTCCGTCCCGTAGCCCTGGGCAGATATGTGTCAGTCGGTACAGTTGACGAGAACAGGATGATTTTTTTCCTCTCTTTCTCTTTTGTGGATAAAGATTCGCTCCTTTTGGAGGTTAAAAATTCTGGCACAGGGGAGTTTGGGTTTGTTTGGAGAGGAAATTGGACAATTGATTGGTGCTTTGGTGTAAAATGTAAGAATCAGAACATCTTGGCTGAAGCGGCACATCTTGTTGGTTTTTGTTCCTGTTCTAGATCCGTGAACGGGCAGGTCTCTAGAACTCTCCCAGAATTTTTTTTTTTTTTGGACATAAAGGGGGCATCTGCATGTTGCTTTTGAAGGGAGGGCTAATCCCGCTATGCAGAGGTGTCGTGCTTTCTGAGAAAAACTCATGGGTCATAATAGCAGGGTTCCCCCTGCTGGGAAAAGTCATGAAAAAGTCATGGAAATTTGTTTTCATTTTCCAGGCCTGGAAAAGTCATGGAATTTTGTAAAAATGACTAAAGTCATGGAATTTTGTAAAAATAACTAAAGTCATGGAAAAGTCACGGAATTTTACCAGACTTGCATAAAATGCATGAGTTTATTCGCAACTTTAAAAGTGCGGATAGTCCAAGAAATTGCATTATTGGGTCATGGATTTTCATAATTTTCTCATGGAAAAGTCATGGAATTTATTTGTCCTTTAGGTGCAGGAGCCCTGTAAAAGTCCTTATTTTCTGATTTTTAATAGCACTGAGTTCTTAAGTATGATCTTGTTACATTTGTTTTCCCCGATATTGCATTACATGTAACTCATTGCGTGCTTATGCAGTTGCCTCAGCATATCAGCTCTGTGTATACGCTGACTTCTCCAAAAGGTCTAGAAGAGAGTGTTACTGTAAATTTGTGAGTTCCGTGACGTAGATCATAGACAAATCCAGTGATGTCACTTGGCATTCTCGACGGCTGCCTTCAGTGGCAGACAGTGCTCGGTGTTGTACTGAGCGCCTATCACCACACAGTGGCTCCCACTGTGAATGACCAGTGATAGTGTTGCCATGGTTACTGAGTTCATCACATTATGCCATAGATTTTCAAATGCAGCCGCACCCACTGTACTTCACCGGCGGTCTTTGCTTGGGTTCAGATTGCAAAATGTCAGAGGGCAGATGAAGTCATGGAGGAGATTGGACTATTCTTCACTTTCATCCAGCCCTCAAAAACCCTAATGACAAAATAATGATTGTCCCTCAAAAGACTCTCGGTCCAGTGAGGTTGTGCTGAGTCTCCTAATGGAAAAGATGATGACATAATTTATCATGGCGGGCCTTTGGTTGCTTGAAGCACTACACTAATTACATCATGATTTTTGGTGCTTGGCAAAACTGGCAGTGAGTTGTGGCTGTGTGGACCGACATCACACGTGCCTCACAAAGGTCGGAACATTTTCCTGAAGGTCGTGCATTTCCTGCTAGCTGTGAAAAAGTTCCATAGACCTTTGCTCGTCTAGTTCCCTGTGCACAATGCAGATTTCTTCATACTTTATTCCTTCATGTTGGTACCAGAACATTCATTTACATTTGAAGTGAGGTGCACTATTTAAACTTTTGTGGATTTGTTGTAAAACAAATTCTGTGACTGAAACAGGCAGGAAACATTTTCTTTCCTGTTTGGTGGTACTGATGACTACTGGTGATCTTGCAATGTTTTATTCAAGAATGTAAATTGTTGGTCTCATAAAGTCAACATTGCAGTCTGGCATAATTTTCACCCTTAATTTCAGCATCGGTTTATGAAGCACAGTTTACAGTCAATTTTTCTCAAGTATTTTGTCATCATATGTGCCCTTAACCGAAGGAAGGGTATTATGCAGGCAGTATTGTTATGGAAATATTTTTTTTTTCTCATTTACAAATGCCCAGAGTAAGTAAGCTATCAAACTGAAATGGCTGTGTACATTACAGTTTTGGGCCGAGTATGATACATGTGACAAATCACTGACGGTAAACCAGTCCCGATGGGGTCTTGTACGCCCCCGTACTCCTCCCCCCCTTCCCTTCCCTTCACGGCATGCACAATCAATGTCAGCACAAACACTCTGCTAATGTAGCATTGTCGCTGGGACGTAACATGCAAGCATCGCTCAGGCCTATGCACCCCCCCTTGCAGTGTCCGATCATGCTGCGTAAATACCAGAACGTGTCCCGACATTTACCCAGCAGTCCTCGTCCGGGGTTTGGCAACGGCGTTGATTTCGGTCCCGATTGGTCCCCCCATTTAACGGCCGTTAAAGGCGGATTGACAGAAAACACAAGAGCCGCGGACAGCCGCAGGGAACCGGTGATGAGGACCGGTATGCATGGCCGGAAACAGCAAACACCATTTGGCATGATTTTGACCGGTTGAAGATGAGACCTTAATTGCCGGCAAAGCTCACCAAAATAAGGGAAAAAAAACTGCCTTGTTATGACGCTCCGCTGACAGTATCGGATGATGCATCGAACTAGATACTCTACATTCTAGCCAAACATACTCAAGACACTTTTTTTCCCCTGTTCAAGCAAAGATTGCATATGCATACATGCGCATCATGTTTATCTTTTGGGGGAAATCTGATGACCGTTTGAACCAGTTTTTTCCAGCAAGTCCTCGTTGTCTTAATTGTACTTGAGTCATAGCGTGACTGTGGATCGCAAAGACCTGCCTAGTGGGTAGCAGTGGTTTCCGCCCATCTTTAACCAACTGCAAATTCAGTCAAAAATGAAATATCTGCCAATCAAGTTCATTAATTTGTTCACTTGAAAGAAATTACGTAAAAAGAGACTTTGTAGCTCACTGAAATTGGCTGCAGGCTTTCATGTGGTATACTCGATTATAAAAAAAATACTTCCTGTTAGGGCCTACATATTTGAGTAAAAAAAAAAATAAAAAAGTGGCCACAATAACGAGAGTGGTGTTTCATTTCAATACCTTCTTCCATTCATTTTTCCCTAAAGGTGTTTGGTGTCGTGGAGTGTTTACTAACCTTACAGATTGATAAAAATGGGATCATGTTGCCCGTAATTCATTCCATTTTGGTTACATGTTCGTGACATCCTTCATTCTCAGAAAAGATGGCAAAAATTGTGGCACCAACGAAAAGAATATGATTTTCTTGTGATTTCTAGAAAAGTGTTCAGCAAAAATGACATTGTTGTTTTTAATCAAGTGTGTGATCATCCTAACTTTTCACAGAATTTAGAAAGTTATATTACATGAGGGAAAATAGCTTTGTGTGTAAGTTTATACACTGGAACTTGCCGACATTGGAAGGCAATAAAACAGCAGTGAGAGGTACAGATAAGTGGTAAAGTTGACTCTGTTCAAACCACAAAATCCAACAGTGGCTGATAACCTTTTTGTTCTTGGGTGTTGTTGACAGGTGAAAAGAGCCAGGATAGAGAGCGAGGGAGCAAACGAGAACCACACACAATCCTCATCAAGGTAGGACGTTGGTGTTAACATTCTTTTTCAAATAATTGATGCTGGTGCTAGAGAACAAAAGGGGGAAATCTGCTCCGCCCACTATTTTCCTTGGCTCCACCCACAGTTCATCCCCCTTTTTCCCCACACACGTAGTCATTAGAGAAAATGGTCGTATTCATGGTTGTTCAAAAGTGACCTACATGTATAGAGTACTGAATGTCCTTTGTTTGGTTGAACAGAGGCAAAACTTTGGAAAATGACACTTTAAATTTCAGACTGATAAATCTGAATTCTATTGTCAGTGTTCATAAGTAAGATATTTTACACCAGTTTTTCTTTCCTGTGTTGAGAATATGTGCATATTGAGGGATAGCTGGATGAAGGTTTAATTAACACTGTCAAGTTTTCTCTGCAACCTTAACTGCTACATATACATACCCCTATGGCGGTTATATTATCCCTAGGATGATTTATATATTGACTGAGGAGCAGGGCAATAGTTCATGTATATGTCCATTCTGTGGATAACAAGTTTATTTTCCTGTTAACCCTGTCAAGACAGCTTTTAACACTAAGAAGTCTTACTGTGCTTGAATGAACTCACTTAAATCAAGACTTTTTTATTTCTCATCTTGGACTATGTTGTTCAGTGCCAAAAAGGTAGTTTTTCTTCTTGCCTTCGTTTACGTGTACAAAGCCATTATGTTGTGTGTTCTTTCATTCAGAATTTAATGTTGTCTAATTTAGTAATACAGGCTGCGAAGTCTTAACAATGAACAAAAAATATTGAATTGATGTTCTGATGAATGCTTTAAACTTTATCAAAGCTGGCAATGTCCATGTGCTTTTCAATTTCATTTCCATGTACATGTAGAACACATTTCACGATGGCCATGAAAAGAGTACTCATTTAGTAAAAAATCCTCACAGCATCACTTAAACAAACACCATCCAGGGCTTGAAAAATTGCCCCCCCCCTCCATCAGCCGCTGCAGAGGATGGTAGCACCTGATAAATTTATTACTGTCCCATTATAAATAATAAAGTGTGCGATTCTGCAGAGGCATACAGCAGCAGTGTTTTTGAGATGATCCCTAATGAACTTAAAGACAAAGGGATGAGTACATGTACAGTGGAACAGTCTGTATGAGTGGCTTAAGCTAGGGACCAGTGACTGCCAGTACATTCACTGGCATGGTTTGGGCAGGGGCCTGATTTTGTCTTGAAGAGTGGTTCTGGTGTTTATCTTGAGGAGTGGAGAGCAGTGTCATTAAACAGGTCATTGCCATAATTCTCCAGGATTGTCCAGTTGTGAAATTTCAGTGGTGAAAATTTGGTGTGGGAATTTGTCAAATTTTCAGAAATTGTGGTCAGAGGAGCAAATAATCAACCTATTCAATGATACAGTTTGTCACAGGCAGGTCTTGTTGACAAGCCAGAAAAAAATTTTATACCATGGATCCTGTGTAAGCCTTTCCTGGCTGAATTTTATACCAGGGAATGTGTATCACTGTTCCTTTGTTTATCTAAGTTGTTGATGGCACTTATTGCAACCCTTGTAGGTCGGTAACAGAGTGGAAATCTAACAAAGGAAACCTTGATTTTAGCTGTGTGCAGAAACAATAAGGGGATGCGTGTTTGACCAGCAATGCCTGGTGCTTGCTTTTGGCCCTCCAAGTCCCAGGCCTGGGGCAGGCAATGCAGATTGCTGGACCCTAGACCTCCCATCACTTGTCAGTGTATTGTGTGGTTAAGGTTCTGCGCAGCGGGGTATTCACATCTCTCCCTGCCTTTCTCTGTGGTAGATGGTGAGAAATCCATTGAGATGTGACCACAGAACTTGGCCCCCCATGGCTAAAAACTCCAGTCATCAGGATTATGCGGTGACACGGAGGCCGGGCTGATCCCATTGGTCCACGGCGGATTTGGAGGGTTGGCCAAAACCATTTGCCGTGGGTGAATGGTGCAGTGAATGTGTGTCTGTGGTGTACTGCCTGGCTGCTTGAAATCACTGACTGACTTGTGCACTGCTGTGGAGTGTGTATATGTTGATGGCCGGCCCCAGTAGTGATGTGAATCATTTTTGTGCTCATGAGTGGTTGAAACGTCCACGAGTTATTCACTCCCTGTCCCAGTATATCTGATTATGGCCATCAATAGTGGTGTTTAGGAGGAGCATTGCTGAGGTTTCGGCGTGTTAATGGAAGTTGTTGTCTTACATGAGGAAAGCTACCCTTACCTTTTCCCATCGAGGGAGTCTTGGAGAAGATAATCGCTGGAGTGCCTGCCTGGGATTTTGTTGTGTTTTTTTCCCCCTCTGTGGTTACTACGTCAGTGGTTTGCAGACTAGAGGGCTGGTACGAAGTGCACGTCTTTGATGGGTTGGTGAGTGTTTATTGTTTTTGGATTAATTTGGTTTTCTTCCCTCTTCTTCAGTTTCTGTCAAGTTTATGACCATATCACTTTTTAGGAAAATCATGCTCCCGATTGTTGGGTAGTTATTATATTATACCCCATCCTGTGGATGAACAGTAGTGTGTGACTCTGGCTGTTTGATAATGGAAACATCTTTCAAGTTTAATGACTTTGATAATATACAGGTAGTCATTAGGAATGAGATCATGTATTTGCTGTATATTTGATCCAATGACTGTTGTTCATCGTGACTATTCAGTGTTTTTGTAGCTTGTGTGTTCCATAAATGGATCATCTTCCCAAGATGGCGACGACAAAAATCATAACTCATTTTTTAGAGTATTGTCTGCATTTTTTTTTTGTTTTTGTTTTTTGGGGCTTCTCCTGGGGCCGGGCATTGCCATTAACAAATGCCTCAGTGGAGTGTCACATGCCTTGTAACTAGAAGCCATTATTTTGTCAACATGTAGCGCATGGTTCATTTCAATCAAAGTATTCCTGATGTCTGCCAGTATATCATTTCTAAGAAATTGTTCTGCCTAAATATTCTTTCATAATTGATAAGCATAGAGGCCTGAGGTTGAAAGCCATGATATCCACATGTACACACTATGTACATGTACACCGTGTAGGAATAGGGTTGTGATATTTACTGTTTCTTACATTTAAGTTATAGATTTTGGTGATATGGTACTTCTAAAACAAAACACTGTAATGCTTAACGATAGGAAGTTTACGTTATAGAGGTTTGCCATTGCACCGTGCAAGAATGTGTCTTTCTGAGTATGTGTGGTTCTTTTCAGAATCAGACATTACTCATGAAGTTTAATTGTGACTGAAATTTTAAGACCCTACACTGGCCAAAAGCTGGAGGGGGAAACAATAATTTACTGGTCTTTGCCATTGACTTCGGGCGGGGGGATGTGGAAGAACTTGCCGGGGGATTTTTCACAGTTTCACTCGTGAGATTTCAACAGAGGATGTGAGAGATGCAGAAAAATTTCAGAGAATGACGCAGGAAATCAGAACACTGGATAATGCACCTGCATCCGGCTGGTTGTTTGTTGTTTGGGGAAACCAAAAAATCTATCCGGTAGGTCGCACACCCAGAAAGCAGAAAACAGAAAACAAAAGTTTAGTCAAAGCAGCCGCAAGAAATAGCAAACTGCTGAAATTATGTTGTGAAACAAAATTTCCATTGTGCCATCAATGGTGACGGTCATTTCGTAGCGAGTGGAGTAGAACATGCTAAGTCAGATGAGATAAATCTGCCTACTCTTTTTGCCTTTAGAATTTTTCAAATTTTGGTAAAGATTTCTTAACCCAAAAAAGCCAGGTTTTGAGGACCATCTCACAGATAGGGATGGGGGGTATCCCCTGTGAACTTGGTTGTAACATGCCCGATCAGTTTGAAATTTAGCATACATGTAAAGATCCTCTGTATCACCACAATAACAACTTTCAATTCAATATAACGTTGGGTTTGGACGGTGTGGTAATTTGAAGTTCATGGCCTCACGTGTGTTGAGCAGAACTGTGGAGAAGGTATGGATTCTTAGCTGACCTGTTACGGAAACCGGACCATTGTGCAAGATAGCCCATGAGATGTTACTTTTCAAGGTTCAGCCCATTTAGTCACGGTGAAATCGTATTTGCAGTTTGAACTTGAAGCTTCTTCAGAATTGTAACCTGGCAAGTGAAGGCAATGAATGGTAAACAGAAGCCGTAAGTCTCTCAATTTCAAAGAGTGAAACAGGAAACTAGACGAAAATTACTCCCAATTTGGATTGAAATACGTGGTGTTTGAAAGAGAGCCTGCTTCAGTGGAAAGTTGAGTGAAATCTCGATCCATTTGAGTTAATTTTTACTCAAATTCATAATTCCCTCTGTTTCGATTGGGCAGAGCAGATTTATTCACTCAAAATTCAAACAGAATGAAATGCCACTCTTAGAAAGAAGGGAGAATGCGTCCTGATAAGCGTTTGTTTTGAAGCATGTTAGAGGTATGTACGTGTAGGTGAATACTCCCATTGGAAAAATCAGATGTGTGCTTCCGTAGTTCAGATAGTTTGGGCTTAAGTCTAAGAATGTAGATTCAGTTTAAAGAGGTAACGCACTATCATCCTTTGATGTGTTTTCACTGATATGAGATGAACAGTTTTTTGGAAAATAATTTTATCATTGAAAGAAAAGTTTGGAGATTGCTGCAGTGTGGAGAAAGGTTATGCAATTACATGTAATTAGAATGGAAGTTGCCATTGTCACAAACACATGTATAGTAGGTATTTGTCGGTTTCGCTACGAGTTGACGTATAGGATATTTTTGGGATATGTACACCACAAAGTGATGTACTGTCCATAGACTTTGTGCACAAGATACGTCAGTTCGTGGTGCAGCAACTATCCACGATACGTCACTTTGTGGTGTGGCAACTATCCACGATACGTCAGTTCATGGTGCAACTGATGGTTTGTACAGTCCTGAGCTTCCATGGTAACCCATTGAAAGTATTTAATAATAATAATAATGAATTTTTTGAAAAAACGCTTTCCCCGTCAATGACATCACAAAGTGCTGTACATTAAAAATTCAGAAATTAAATGAACTTTCAAAGATTAAAACAAATACTGATAAAAACAGTTATAAAACAAAATTAAGAAATGAAAGTAACAATTAAAATTAAAACAGTTATAAAACAAGACGAAAGAATTAAAACTAACAAGAATGAGATAAATAGTCCTTTAATAAACAGGTGCATTTTCCAAAGTATCAGCAGATTGAATTGCTTAATCTGTTAACCAGTAGCTGACTTGTGGCGATTTTGTAACGAGGAACTGTTGCCTACCAGGTAGACATTTTTCTAGTAATAACTTCTGCAACTCAGCCTCCCCATCCCAAGAAACCTAAAAAATTCCTGTTTACACCAGGAAAAAGTCCCCATCTCCCACCTGCATCACAAAAAGAGAAACAAAGGAACACTGTACACGTTTCTTGGAGGGTATATGTTGGTCTGGTTTGTTATTTAGGCTTACACTTTGACAAGTGGCTGTTCCGTCTTTGGCCTGCTACTTTTCTTTTCTGCCAGTTTGAGTCTTTAAGATGCATGACACTTCGTGAATGTGAGCAAATAATCGGCAAATATTGTCGCATTGTTAGTTCCCCAGTCTGTGGTGCTTAATTTTTTCAAAGCTGAAGCTTAAAACAATTTCCATATGCAGAAAAAGGACTGCTAATTAAAGTTTACTTTCAGCACAGTTTGAGAATGTGTGAGTGTCTGTCATCGGATCTGCAAAGTATTTCTTCCGTATTGCTTGATCTGACAAGCCATGGTTACATTTGTCACTGGTTACATTTCTCACTGAGTTAGTTGTCCTATTTGAACTAGGACAAGATATTGTCCATGAAATATGAAAAAAAAAAATCACCCTGAAAATGTTTGATGAGATCGGTATGTTCATCAGCATAAGTGAGTTTCACAAAACAGAGTTATATTGGCACAGGTATTGTGTGTCATTCTGATCACTATAATGTACACATGTACCCTACTGTACTGGTATGGAGACCGTTTGAAGTTAAGAAAAATGCAACATGTATACCTCAGGATGCTAGACGGCTATAATTCCTGCTATTATGTTTTGTAGAATTGTGATCAAATAATGTCTTGCATGCAGTGAGCACTGTGCCTTGAGAAACTTGGAAACATCCAGTACATTGTACACATAGTGTACATGTACATTTACTGTGGACTGCGGGGATTTTAGGGGGCCTGAACTCAGTGCATGTATAGGTTGAAACGTAGGGTTAGGAAAACATGACTTGTTTTTTCTTCTTTAAAAAAATTGAGTTGCACAAACGTATGGTTACAATTACAACAAATTTTTGTGGAAATGAATCAAGACTGTATTACAGTGGCCCGAGTTGGGGCATTTTTGTTGAAATTTTAGAGGATACGTTTGGCGTCAGACATGAGCATGAATCTTTTCTGTGTTGCCTGAAATGTAATGGCTGACTTACATGTACAACATCCAGTTTGGCCGATGTGTCGGCGTTGATTTCTTGCATTGGAAGTTTTCAATATTTTCGGTTTGAAGGTGATCTGTGAGGCATTAAAGTCTTCCTGTCTTATTTTCCATTTCTTCAAATATCAGCCAAACTGAAATCTCTGAAGCGAATATAGAAGGTGCTGGCATGTATATGTACATTGATTTGCTCATTTTGTTGGAAACATCTCATCTTGTTAAATATTGTCAATTTGAGATTGAAAGACTCACACCGTAAGTAGTGCAGTGGATTTTCCCGACCGATAAAAAGGACTTCAGAAGTGAGTGGTTCCGATGAAACCACATGTAATTCCCAATTTGATGGATCACGACGGTAGGATTTGTGTGAAATTGGAAGGGAATTTTGTATTCATTGTCCATGTAGGGGAGGCTTTTTGCTTTGGTCGGTGAAGGTTTTGGGGACAACATTAAAGAAAGAGCCACTGAGGTTTGAAATACCTGCACCAAATTGACTTTACATGTAGTTCTGCGGGAGCCTTGTCAACCATGCTTCACGGAAGCTTGATAATAAGATACAAGTTTCAATGCCCCGATTTGTCTATTTAGAAACATTTTCTTGGTTGATATGTTGTGGTTATTTACAATTTTGCAGAAATGATAACGCAGAGAATTCCTTTCTTTTTTTTGTACGCTGTGTGCGAGGAGTTCCCTCTGGCTGCCAAGTGTTTTGAATTTTTGGGTTGTATATATGCATGTATTTACTTGGGAAACCTATTGTTTCTGCCTATCTGCTGGGTGCCAGTAAAATGAAACTTCCCCTCTCGTATCAGACAGCGTGTCAAATTTCAAAACAGCAAGGAAAAGCTGCCAGTAAAAATGAAGTTTTGCCCCAGCAAGGCCGGCGTAATTCCACTGTTCTACAATGTAATTTCGCTTCATGAGGGTGGGTTCAGAGGCGCTCTCTGGAAGTTGAGTTGTTTGGCGTTGCTTCTTAGAAAAGTTCTCTGTTTAATTTTTGGCACTGAAAGTTTCGTTGAGATGTCCTCTTTGTGCTAAATCCCCAAACATTGGCATGCGATGTGTAGTAAGTATTTTTGAGGCCGTACTTGTAGGTGTCTGTTTGCGGCAGGATCATGACATCAAAGTTCTATCCAGACTGTGAAATTGGATTTTTTACCCCCACTGCCATTGCTATCCCGATCCCAATGTCTGGTTCCCCATTCAGTTTAGTTGGCTGCGAAACATTCCGGTGATGTCACCAAAATTGCTCCTTTTGCTCAACCTGAACACAGTAAAAGCTCAGGAAGCAGAAGAAAGTGGAACAATTTCAGCTCTTGAGAATTTTTCAAACAAAAGATTAGTAACCTTGGTGTCAACTAGATTGGATCACACCATCAATAGTTGATTTCCCAGAATCATTTCCAGTTATTAACTATAGGGTAGGGAACCTGTTTTGCCCAGGTACATGTAGATTGCAACCTTTCTGACTTGATCAGGATTGAGGGGGGGGGCTGTTCTCTGCAGGATACCAGACCACTAGTCTCTCCAATCAAGATTTCATTTAGCATCCCTAACGTTTCTTTAGAAAGTAAGACAAAAAAGGTTGCAAAATTGTCACAAATTTGGAAGTTTATCAAGGGAATTGTTAGACCCTTCATGTTATACAGCATATTTTTTTATCCCTACGGAAGAGTGTTGATCTACTTGACAACAGAGTAATGACAAATTAGCAGTGGCTTAGGTGTTCTGAAACTCAGCCTGAAGAAACAATAAAACCTAAGCTGCTGATAATTTATCACTATCGCCATTCCCTCCCCATTGTAAGAATGGATCTTTGTCAATCTGTTCTTGAATGAGGAATTTGCTCATGTAAAGCTTTTATAAAACTTGTGAATTAGGCTAGCTGTGTAATGTTAGCAAGTGTTCAACAAGTTGATTGTGTTTTTCACCAGGTAAATTTTCTAAAGTCATCCATTTGTTACGATGTTTCCTCATTTTAGCCAAGCCGTTTGCCCTCAAAACCTTTACCGGCTACTACCAGCTGTCGTAGAAAGATACACACATTTTCCTCCCCTGCCAAAATTCAATAACAATTTCTCTCCCCATTACATCACCACTCTGTAAAGTATGGACTATTTTACCTGTAACCCGAGACGGGCGCACGTTGAGCGTGTAGCAAAACAAGTTCGTATCCGCTGACAACATCCACTTACACAATATGAAAACAAACTTGTGGCGGGCGTGGTGATGGATCTCTTGGCTCGATTTCTTCTCCTCAGCCCCCCCCCTCCCCCATGATATATTGTTGAACTTGGTAACCCAGTGTACGGTCAAGAATTTAAAAGATGTGTCAAGCAAAGCAAGAGGTTGTGGTCTTCCCGGGCTTGCCTGTATGTTGCGGGATTGGAGAAATCTGAATCAGTCTTCTGAACAAAAGATAAATGTTCCTTATACTATCATCAGGGTTGAAGCTTGGAAAAACCTTTCATTTTGTTTGTTTGGTCTTTGGTATGGTTTTTTTGTTGTTTTTTTTTCTTTGTTTGTTTTGTGTGTGTGTTACAGTATGCTTTTTGGAGTCTGCAGTGGTGGACCTCACCAATGAAATCACATGACCAATCGTTTCTGGCCAAAGAATCGATTCCTATTTTACAAACACAGACACAGTGTAGCTGCTACACAGTACTTGTAATTCCAAGGTTCCTCGTGGGTGTGTAGTGATTTTGCACTCAGATCAGGTCACATTCGTGTTTTTCCTTTCCCTTAATTTTCACCCTCCCAGATCCTTTAAAATCCACCAGGAAGATTTGTTGGATTTAACATGATTGTAGGAAGGTACATACAATGTACATGTAGAGCCCAGCCACCATTTCTTTTCATGAGGGCCAGTGGTGCTCCTTGAGAATTAAAATGCACATACCATGTACAAGGTTGTTGGTTACTAGGGTGACCTGATCCCACAAATGGGTCTTAAAGGCAATTTTCTTCAATGGGTTTCGGATGTAAAGGAGTTTTATCGGACTGTCAGTTTGCAGTCCTTATGTACATGTAAATGGACATTACTCAGGTTCTTGTTGATTTATGTCATACAGTAGTCTTTGTAAGATCTTTAACTCAAGATTGGCTCTGGTGCCTTCCAACTCTATTAGGTTTGGTTACTTTTTTGAGGATTTTGTAGGATTTGAGAATGGTTTCGAACCAAACAAATTGCTAGGCTTAGAATAACAGGATGCCCCCCTGTGTTTGACCTTCCCAGGTCTATGGAAATTCAGCAGTTGGCGAGCCCGCACAGCCAGGTATCCAGCGCTAACGGCAACTCACCACAGCATGACAACTCCACTGACAGCAACTGCTCTGTAACAACCAATGGAACAGAAGGTGAGTGGCCAGCCCTTTGTTTTTCAGTGGGGAGATCATGAGACCCGACCTGTCATTGGACAGAAATCATGATCATTGGTAATTTCTATTCACAGGGCTGAAAACGGATGAAATTACATAAACATGATTCATGTTCACCAGTTACTGTAAGCCCTGCATACTGTGCATTCTTATGCAGGTGTCATACATGAGAATATTTTCGCAAACTTCTAAAAACCACTGGTGCGGCATCGAAAAATTGCGGGCGTTTTTCATTTTAATTTTTAATTTAATTTATTTCAGAAGTCATGGTTCATTTCTCTCTCTAGTAAGTTTCATTGTTCATCCTAGATATAAAATGAAATTGATTCTTGAGATGAATGAAATGTTATGAATGCATCCAAGAGCCAACCGATAAATTTATTGATTTGGCTTATTAGATTTATTGCTAAGGCATGAATATTTGAAATATAATATGCCAGGACAGACGTTTCTTCAGTAATTAGCTTTCTCTTAATTGTGGAGATATCAAGAGTTGTGAAAAAAGGTAGAAATGTGATGAGAAGGCCTTGATGAAAATTTACGTCAATGTGTTTAAAAAAACACATACCAGCTGTTGTGTTTTTAAACAGTCATGCAGAACATTATGTGCACAGAAATCCATTATTAGGTCTGCATAATGTGTGTTTGTTAGAGGAACATATAAGCTTTGATAACCTGACTTTTTAAGGGTAAAACCAGGGGCCAATTTCATAGAGCTGCTTAAGTGTGAAAAAACCTTGCTTGACAAATCAGGTTACTGGGCAAAACTCCATGTGATCTGTATTGTTTTGGGATGGTATTAACGTGTCTTTTGGTTAGCCTGACAATCACATAGAGTTTGAGCTGGTAACCTTTGTTTTTTTCAAACAAGGTTTTTTGCGCTTAAGCAAATTTTGTGCTTTAGCAGCTCTGTGAAATTGGCCACGCCCGACTATAGCTTTAAACGAGGAGGGAAAGGAAATCACCTACATGTAGCTCATGGTCCTAGCAATCATCTCCACTCACTTTAATCGTCATAATACGAGGCCCGATTATGTACCGATACGTAGGCGCGTGTCGTCGTCCAAGGTAATTGCACTTCGTACGATAGCAATTTCGGAAACTTTCCTGCTTTCAAAATGATCACTAAATCTTGATCTTACCTCCGGCAATGAAAAAAAAAGAAAAAAAACTGCCATTCTCCTGGAGTAAAAAAAAGACCAATTTCACCATCGAGTTGCTCGCCGATCTTGCTTTTTTTTTTTTTTTTTTTTTTTAACTGTCCTCTTCTTGTTAATCCAATTCATTGTAACTGTTAATATTGCTAAGAGGGTGTCTTGGCTGATTTCCCACGGGGGTTGGGCCGTGTGTTTTTTTTTCCTCTCATTGGATGTGGCCGGCTGTAGTATTTTTTGCAGGCTTTTGATTAGTCAGAGGCCCAGCAATTTAATTTGATTACAGGTTTTTATGCCGAGAATTAATTAATTTGAATACACTGTTGATTTGTGCCATGTCATAACCATCAGATGTACCTTGAAAAAGTGCAGATAGCACTGAGTCCATGGTGAAAAACAAGATGGATTGATGCATTTTGCATCCTTTAGCAATTGAAAAAGACAAAAAAAGGAGCTCCAGAAGAATACGCCAGTTACTCATACGGAGAATTCACATCCAAAGCCATGGATACCGAGAATTCACATCCAAAGCCATGG